ATTTATTTATTTTTAATTTCTTTATTTTTTCATCTTGACACGAGTTGCATGCAAAACAGTAGCATTTTTGGCTTGTGCAGAAGCCCAACGTTATACAAGCTCTTGGAACAAAGGTAGATGTATGTCGGTACACAGAGTATTTAAACACAACAGTATACATTTAACATTGGGCTTATTTGGCCTCTTGTCAAGGATTTATGTAATTAAACTTCTCTGTAACATAAACTTAGCTTACGTACTGATAGCTCCTTTTATCATTTATATTGTAGAAACACAGAAACATAGAAACATAGAATGTGACGGCAGATAAGAACCATTCGGCCCATCTAGTCTGCCCAATTTTCTAAATACTTTCATTACTCCCTAGTCTTATCTTATAGTTAGGATAGCCTTATGCCTATCCCATGCATGCTTAAACTCCTTTACTGTGTTAACCTCTACCACTTCAACTGGAAGGCTATTCCATGCATCCACTACCCTCTCAGTAAAGTAATACTTCCTGATATTATTTTTAAACCTTTGTCCCTCTAATTTAAGACTATGTCCTCTTATTGTGGTAGTTTTCCTTCTTTTAAATATAGTCTCCTCCTTTACTGTGTTGATTCCCTTTATGTATTTAAATGTTTCTATCATATCCCCCCATCTCGTCTTTCCTCCAAGCTATACATGTTAAGATCCTTTAACCTTTCCTGGTAAGTTTTATCCCGCAATCCATGAACCAGTTTAGTAGCCCTTCTCTTATTATGGTATAGTAGGGGTGTGGTTCGTAGCAGGGAATCCGTGTCCCTGTGTGATTAAATTCTTCTTGTGTCTCCAAATAAAGAGATGATTAATGGGGAAAAAGATGAATTCCAAATCTAAGAAAAAAATAACCAAACTAGAAACATTTTCCAAGTCAGCACCTCTTCAAGTGTGGCTACTTTGGCCTTAAATTTGAAATTCACTTTGAATTCCTGATAATTCTTGGTTTAGCAAAATAGCCATTTTAGAGTATAGAGTTGTGGGCATTTCTCAACTTACAACTTTTTGAGCATACCTGCCTCCGTGTACCTGTCCAGAGTGGTCAGTTACCTACCGTATACCCTGCTCTGGTCACCCATTCCTTACAAATATCCAAGAAGCAAATAGAGGCAAAGGGAGGGAAGGTTGGCTCTATTTCAATTCTAAAGATTCCGGAAGACTGAAATCATTCAAAAGGTGATATTGTAAGAAAACTGGAGATGAAGTCTGTTAACAGTGCCCCTGGTAGTTAAGGGTAATGATGCACAAAAACAATGTTTTAATAGTTGTTGTTTTAAAAAAAAAAAAAAAAAAATTCAATTCATGTTTTCAATCCATTGAAACTAGCATAGCATCAAAACAAGAAAGATGTACTAAAAGGAAATCCAAAGAGGTCATGAATAGGGAGAGATTGATGGAATTTGCCCATCACCCCAAAATATTTCATAAGGTTTGGAAACCCTAGCCACTTTTATTGCACTGGTATATAAAAGTTACAAAAAGAAAAAGGGCATTCCTCTTCTTCCAGATATTACAATAAATCTAATCTGATATATTATTTTTTTGTATCCATGACATGAATTATATTCATCAGACTCAGACTGAAAATGGGCTTTTAATAGTTTGTCTGTAGTTTTGTTCTCCCTCTAGCAGAGCCGGATCACCCATTAGGAAGCATATGCAGCTGCCTTGGACCTTGGTTCAGATATCTTCTCTCTGGATTGCCAACACTGACTGTAAGGGATGCCCTCCCTGCACATATCACTAAATTGATGGGGCATCATGGTATGTTTCTCAATCAGGTGCAGTTTAAAATTAAGACCTCCCTTGTGGTCCTGATTAGAGGCTTATCTACTGAAAATAGCAACCTATGGCAAGCACTGAAACTGCATCTGACAGCCATCTTCTAGATACTTTCACCATAAAATCAGTTAAAAAAAATACAAACTGTGTGTAATGTGTGTGCTGACTGTATGTATTGTGTTTAGTGAGTGCTGGCTGTATTTAATGTGTGTAGTGAGTGCTGGCTGCATGTAATGTACATTATCCTATATAAGCCACTGCCCTCTCTCTCGTGTCCCATACCAGACTCTGCCCTCAATGTTATGTCCAATTGTAACCTCTGCCCTACTTAACATGTCCTTTACCAGATGTCTTTGCCTGTCCACTCGTGTATTACATAAACATCTGTCTTTCCTGCCATGTTTAAAAGGAAATCAAATGCCAATTAAAAATCCCCTCCATCCTCCCTTCCCAAATACAGCCATGTGCTCCAATATCACTACCATTTTCCCTGTCTTCACAAACATGCCCTTTACCACCCGTTACCCTCCCAGATATTACCCATATCATCATATGTTCCATCTTACAGCCATGCTTATTTATTAGTCATCCATTGGCCAGAGGAGGGAAAAAGGTGCAAGGTGGGCCTGGAAACCTACAGAAGCTGTCTTCTATATTATCTTTCCAACTCCTCAGCCACTTTGGCTCCCAGGATTGCAGCGGGTAGCCTGAAATAACACACAGATGGCAGTGGGGAGATATGACATATAGTCATATCTCCATATTATTTCTTACAAAGCTGACAGCGATAGTCTACCATTAGAGCAGACCTGTCACTTGCCTGTGCCAGGGTTAAAAGCCAAAAAAAAAAAAACTTCCTGGAGCCCGAAACAACATGTCTCAGGTGTCAGTTGATACATATATTTACCATCTCTAAAATTTCTCTGTAGCACCTCCTTATCTGGCGGCCAGGACATGCGCTATACATGCCATACCCTAGGTATACCACTGGTCCTGGCACTTCTCGATGACTCAGAGTGCATCAATCATTGTTCTATGATGTTGGCTCCTGTCTCTTATTCTTGACTACTCAAATAGATGCTGCCCTCCTGGCTTCTGACATTGCCCTTAGGTGCGTGACTACTCTATAGGTTGATCCCTATCCCTGGTTCCAACTCTGGTATCACTCTGAAAAATGCATGTTCTGGGTGTGCTCCCTATTCCACTATTTCTATGTATGTTTGTAGTGCAGAAAAGATTCCTTTTGGGTTGAGCACCCTGCCCCGTGCCTCTACTTCAGATTTCCATTTGGAAGTGACCAGAGGAAAGTCTAAATTTGAGTAGGTTTAGAACAGCAATATCACCTAAACAAAATGTATTTGATATAGAACAGATTTATCATACGCATTGTTATTATTTACATAAAAGCACTTTCACTTTAATTATCTATTTATGGCATTATATTTTTTTATTTGTTTTTGCTCAAATATATTTAGAATGATATGTATTTACAGTGCACTTACAATGGATTAATTGAATGCACTTCAGTTTAAGTTATATTAATTTAGCATTGGCACTATTTACATAGTAAGTATGGTAGTAAGCGTGTTTGTCTCCTATGTTAGTATTAGTGTAGGGTCTACCAATATTGGGGTACTGTGATATAGCTGTGGACTTAACACAATATGGCCATAATCCCCATATTTGTTTGCTGAGACAGGTAATTTTAAATAGCATTGTGAAATGTAAAGCTGTATTTTAGTGTAAGCATTGTTCCTTAATATGTATTTTGTATAGATTATTGACTTTACAGGAGCACCACTGCTGAGAAATGCATGTTCCAGGTGTGCTCCCAATTTCCATTGTTCCATCTCTGCTGTCAGACCTCAACTAACAACCACAATCTCAGATCATCCTTTCAACCATTGCTTTATCAATATATAGTTTATCAAGGTATATGGATTTTTCCTCAATTATTTCTCAATGTTAAAGCCCTACATTGCTTTATTGCCATATTTACTACTCTGGAACGTCTGTGCTGCTCAAATTCACTCCCACTTGACCTCCTATCTATCTTTTCACCACATAGGTCTCCTGGCCACCTTAACTATGCATTTATCTGTACATAATATTAAACCACTACAAGGAGATCCTACGCTTCTGTGTCTATCTGTTAAAGGAGGCGATATGTTGTAAATTCTGTATATATATGCCATTATTGTTCTCTTACTTTCTAAGTTTTGTCTAAGCAAGTCAACTCCATTGTGTATGGCTGAAGTGTCACAGTCTATGGCAAGACTAAAGTAAAGTGATTTCATCTACTGTTTTAAGTATTGCACCCTCCAGTTATTGCACAATATTACCCCATCAATACCTGGATCAATGACACACAATACTGAACCTTACACACCAAACACAAAACACTCATTTGATAGATTCAAAGAACAGAGTGTAGAACTCTAGGAGAGAGCCCCAATCCCGCATCCTGCCTAGGGGCTTGGGCTATTTTAATGTGACTCTGCACTTTTGTCTCAAATAAGTTTAAGCTCACTTGTGCCAGTACAGAGGGACTCTATACCATGTACACATCATCATAACAAAGTGAAAAGCCATGTCATCAGTATGCACAAAGGAGCAAAGACATTTTAGCTTTTTTTGTGCCATTGCAGAGAGGACGCATACTATATGCATATCAGTCTAGTCCCATGCACTTGTGCAGTCCAGAATCAAAATGCCACCTTGGTCCTAAGAGATTGAATTGCACCAGGAAATAATTTTGGTCTTGATTGAGCCTCATCAGTGAGTAGGCCTAGTGGCTCTTAAGGCATAGTGAGCAAGGGACCCACATCCACATGAAACAAGAGACACACCGAGAATGGAGAAAACCTTATTAACTTGCCTTTTGGATATAGCTGCATTTATGGAGTATTAACTTATTTAAATAAAAAAGTATTGTATTTCTATTTTAATAAATATTTAAATTTGATCAAATCATCTCTAATTATGTATCTTATCCACGAAAGGACCATTTCATTATTTTTTTTTCTACTATTTTCGTAAAATATCCAACAAACACTTAAACAAGGCTCAGATGTGCATAAAGTGTGTAAACTTGTTTTAATCAGCCCCCTGGGAAATAAGATATTATTTATAAACCCTAAAGCAGATTATAGAGACATAAAAGAGGTTCAGGCAAACAATCACACGTCCATTCTTGAAAAAAAAAAAAAGCCTGTTGCATTTCATTTTTTTATCCCATCCCATTATAGAAACAAAAACTGCAGTTGGCTTCAGTCAGTGTGCTAAATAAAACTTGGCATATAAATATTACAAGATAATCAGTTTCACTTTTTTAATTTTCAAAGTCTACGGCTATGGGAGTTCATTTCCAAAAGGTAAGTGAGGAATGGGAAATGAAGAGCCAATCGATCTTTAATTATCCATTATCACTAAATTCTTTCCATATCTATTTTAGATATTTTGGTAGAGGTACGGCAAAGGGAATATGTGGGTTAATATTGCTCTTTTTTTTTCTTTTATATTGTAAGCTTGTTTGGACTCTCTATCTACTAATCTATTATGTCAGTCATGTTTAGTTAAAATTAAGTGTTTGTCTTATTTTGGCGCTATATAAATAATTGTCATTTTCTTATTTATAATCACTTAAGGAAAGCATTATTTTTCAATTCTTTATTTATTTTGAGGAACCAACAAAATACGCATTAAAAAATGAAAAAAAACATTAAATTGACATATGTACGCATATTCTCTAGTACCCGAGAGCTTTATCATCCAGCAGTCCTCGAGTTTATCCTTAAAAAAAACAAAAAACACAGAGACAGAAAAAAAAATGATTATAATAATAAACACAACATAAATAAGTAAATACATTTTACCATGGCTTACATATATATATACCTTCACTCATATCCCATTTTTCATATAAGCCTTCCATGGATTCCAAAAATAAAATAAGTTTATTGTATTGTTATACAGTCAGAGGAGAGAAAAGCCAAAGACAAATACCAGAACGTACATGCGCATTGATATTGGGAGGATGGCACGAAAAATGCATAATATTTTTGGTGAATGGATCTTCAGCTCACGGGTGTTTCAGTATAGCACCCAGCTTCTGATCCAAGAATGATGCGGAGTCTGATGGACATTGCAGGAAAATAAAGGTATTTATAGGGTTTGGCAGCGCCCAGCATCAAAATTGACTCCACAATGATGCTGGGTCAGACGGATGGCACAGAACTAAACAGATACTGTTACAGTGAGAATATAATCTGTACAGAGGTGAGAATGATTTCAGGGATTCCAATACTATAGTGTAATAGTAATTAAATGCATGACATTCAAAAGCAACTGACTGAGTAGGTTAAACATGATTAGGAAACATAGTGGAAGGACAAGTTGCCCAAGGTGCAAAAGAAATTAAATAAATTCTTAAGCGATTGGCTTCACTGAAGAAAATGTAGTTTTCATGACCTGTGTGACGAAGTGCCCTTCGCCACTTGTGCCTGGAGAGGACTGCTTGCCAGCCTCCTGCCATGTGACTATGGCCCCTGGGATGTATTGCCCTTTAAAGACATGATTTGGGCATAATGGATTTGTGTTGTGCTGCTGCTGGCCCTTTAAGAACCATCTGGGGACATACTGTAGAGTTACTGGGTGGCCACCATTTCCTGTATCAGAAGCACATGGTGAGAACAATGGATGGCGGCCATTTTAACTCACAGACACTGTTTGGACTTTTCAACACGGTGCCATCTCGCCAGTATTTGTTATACAGAGACATCGTGCGGTGGTTTTGGACTATACAGCAGGGGACACATTATACAGTGATTGTTTTTCATTTAGCCTGTATATGTTCTGCAGAATCTGCATTAAACTGTATTTTCCAAAGTACCCCACTTTTTATGGGGTTATTGCATGTTTTGGGGTCCCTGTGATGTATATTTTAGAAGTTATGAATGCTGTAAAAATTGTAATGTTTCTGGCCAGCAGATAATTGAGCTTTGTGTATTGTAGAAACTCAATTATCTAGCCTGGCTCAGAGGAGGAGTTTTGTGTTGCATAAATTGTGAGTTCTGTGTGCCAGTAAATCAGTCTTGTTCCAGCATTAAGCCTTGGCTCATGTTTGGGGGATTGGAGAAATACACTCTGGGGATTGCTATAATCACTATACTCCCCAGGGTATGATCACTAAGTTCTGCTAAGAGCTTGTTCCTGCTCTCTGGGGAAAGAGAGGTTCACCCACTGGAAGCTGGATCCTGGCCTTGGGTCCAGGGTGGGTGGAGACAGCAGAGACCCCAGCGCAGCTGCATCGCTGGAAGTGGGGTCTGCAGTGCTGATGGTGTCGGTTGGAGTGCTTGGAGTCCTCGGCAAGCGCTAGGAGCATCGATTGGCGGAGGTACTCAGTCGGAGTGCCAGCGGTCCGTCACAACCCTATATTCTCTTAATGAACTAGAGACCAGGGGAATTCATGATGGGGTGAGGAAGGACATATGTTATGGATATGGCTACCATAAAGTAGTTCTGAAGGTAAGTTGGGTGATGGAGTGAGAAACCACAAGCTTGTGTGCGTCATTTGCAAGACATGATGATGCTGGAGGGCGCGCCACACCGAAACAGGGTGGGTGTTCCTTCCTATATTGTCATGGGCCATTAAGCCACTGTATCAAGATTGCGTCATCGTGCCTGTACGTGATTATGCCGGAGGAATGGTATAAATTTGAATGCATCTCTCCATTATGCCAGGATCTTTGAAAAAATAGAGTCATCCCGAGCACCCAGCCTCAGTCTGGACCCTCACAAGAATCCCCTGGAAGAAAAGCACATCTTAAAACTATTTCAGAGATCTGCTGAATCTAGGAGGTTAACACATTCATCTCAACTCTAAAACAGTTATGGTTCCCACATATGGGGTGAGATCAATGCTATCACAATTCTCTGTTGTTTTTGATTATAACTAAAGGACTATATTTGTGACTTTAGAACTTTTCAAGAAGTTCTCTTGATACATTCTCTAAATAAGATTTAATTTTATTATTTATTTAACTCTTTTTTTGGGGGGGGGACAAACTCATGCTAGTGACTTAAATGCTGGTGACTTCATATAATGCTGCAATTATTATGAAGCATGTAACTTGTTTTTGCAAGCTGGCAATATCTATTGCTTGTTACCACAGCTTTCTTATTTTTCATTTTTATTTTTTTGGATTTTTTATTGTCTAATTTTTTTCATTATCTGGAATATAACTTTAAGAACTAATTCAAGAGAATAAGGATGTTCAAATGACATACAATATGTAGGAACACCTTTACAGTGAATCTACCTTCAAGAAGGGGACTCTCATATAGGATTCAATAGCAATGCTCTGTTGATGCTGTTCTGTAATATGAATTGCTTTTATACTATGTACCTAACTATATGTGTTCTATGCAGTTTACTTTACATATACATTGATCCATGAGGATCCATATTTTGGGGGTTTTCAGCATTCTCATTCCTAAAAATATTTTTAATGTTTTAAAATGTTTAAAAAATGTTTACACACCACGTATCTTGGTGATGGATCCACATATCGTGGCCTTTAAATGATTAGCCTGTAATTTACATGTGTTTTGTTTGGGAAAGCAAGAGCTCAGGCTGAGGCATGGAGCTCAGAGATGGAGCATAACTGACATAGTGTAAGGAAGTGTTTGTGTCTCAAAGTGAGAGAGTGAGTATGACTAAAGAATAGTATAAAAGAATAGACAAATTGATAGGGAGAGGAGATGGGAGTGAGGGAGTGGGAGATACAGTCCAGCTCAATACACTTTACCACCAGTGTTTATCTCCTTCTCCAACAGACATCTGGACCAACTGGTTCAGAATCAGAGGATGATTGTCAATGCATATTGGATACATACACCAGCAAGCCTCAATTACTCAATGAAGAAACCTGGTGAGAAGAATAAATGATGTGACCAGCATGAGATTTACTGACACACCTAGCCAGCAGTGTTCAGGACTTCATCCACTAACACAAGCTACAGACTTTATGACAGGGTTCCACTTACTGCAGTCCATCAATCATAACATATTCTGAGACAGCCACTAATGTCCAGTCTGTAGTTTGAAAGACTATAGACTGTGGGCCATGGCCTAAGACCCATCCCTGCCCCTTCTGCCAAAGCAGTATATCTCACAGATGCTCCAAATAAAATTGTTTATTAAAGACTTAGTTCTCTGTGTGATTGATATACTTATTCGCTTAATCAGTTATGCACATGGTATTATATTTGCTTTTTTAGATTTTTCTTGCTTCAATCTCACATAACCCTCAAATATTGATGTGATCCTTAAGGTCACTCTATTATTATAGCAAGTACCTATTTTGTGCTTTTGTAGACAGTGGGAGTTTGTATTACAATTGTTTATAGAGCGCAAAAATATTCCACTGTGCTGCACAATACAAAAACCAAGACAATTCATTCTGACAAGTTTCACATACGGGACCGATAGATGAAGAGAGCCCTGCCCAAAAGAGCATAACAAGCAACAGGAAAGGTAGTTGTCATAAATAACATGCATGCAGACATTAATAAGATTTTATTTTTTATGCTATAATGCTATTAACCATTTTGGTAATAACACATGGTTTTCCATCATTAATATTACACACACCAACTTCCTTAATGAAATACTCATGGGTTTAATTTGTTAGGGCCCACGGCCAGGGCAGGCAAAGGGTAATGATCCATGTTTTGTAAAACTACACCTCTCATAATTCTCAAAACTACACCTCTCATGATGTGAAAAGCATAATGGAAGGCCTGTTTGACAAAAAAAAAAGAGCTGACCACTTTAGTCCATGTGGTATAGTGACCGATACAGTGAAACTGACTTAATAAACTACTATGCAATTTATGTAATGAGTGTTTTAATAAATTTTTTTAAAAATATTACTTTTAACATGGTGAAATTGATAACATTTTCACGTGATGATTATTTAAGAATAGCCTGCACCAATCCCATGCATTTATGTAATAATCTGGACCAAATGCATTTATTTTCCGCATACCTTATCGCAGACATCTCAGTGGCAACATTTTTTTCATCTACAATAGCTAGGATAAAAAAAAAAAATATTGATTAACGAATAATTATTTTATGCCAACAAGGATTTTAGTGAAGGAAATAACATTTTGTTACATTCTTTAGAGTAAATTATGTTACATTCAGTCAAGTAAACTTGTGGGTTTATTCACTTAACAATTAACTATAGCCAATTAAATTCTAAAATGTAAGTAATAATTATATGACTATGGTTGACTTATAGGAATTTTGTGAATCAGTTACTTCTTCAAATTGTACTGAATAAAAATCTGAGCCACAAGATTTTGGCCAAATTGGGTAAACTTAGGTAAAATTATATTATTCAGTAATTGTCACACCTCAGCTGTGTTAGCTTGAATGTTGCCATTCACATTTTATTCACTACAGTTCAGTGAGTTTGGTGAACAACCCTGTAAGCACTTTATCAAAGTATATTCATTCCATAGCCTGCAGTGCTTAGAGTTCCCTGTCACTTTGTCTCAGCGTGGTTTATAACTCATATTTGCAAACATCACTTCAAATCCTACTCACTTCAAAGGGGGAAATGTACCTCCACATTGGCCACATTGGCCTTCCAAGATGTTTGCAGTCTTTGCATACCATGCATTTCAATCCTCTCCCCAGAGACCGTGAACTGTGACCATAGACATTGCTGGAGTTAGGGGGTATTGAGGGCTGAGGCCCCGGATGTGGGACTCAACAGCCTCAGATCTCTACAGGTAGTGGAGGGTCAAAGAACCCATTTTAAAATTTTGCTCAAAGCAGTTATAGCTAGTGCTATAGCGCTAGGCTACCAAGGGAGGGGGTTCTGAGGAATAAAACTTTGCTGCACGCCCCTCTATTAGTTAGGGAGTATGGCAAGACCGCACTAGATACCATGCTGTGCAGCGTGTGCTTGTTTTCAGCTATGACTTAATTGATATCCTGAGAGCATAAGCAGCCCGCTGTTCATGGGTCTACTGAAGAAACTGTAATTTGCTGGAAATTCCACTTTATTCTTATAGAGCATTTGTGTTAATGTTTCAATATAAAAGACACAATTTCACACAATGTCATTTTCTTTATGTGCAGGTAAATAAAGAATACTTTGATATCCTGGATTTGACAAATTATTCTAACAACAGTGTGAAAGAGTTTATCATCTCTGGATTCCCAAGGCTTCAAAGATTTTCGCTTTTGCTCTTTTTCATATTTATGGTAATTTATCTTTTCACAATAACTGGCAATGGCCTCATATTCTTCTTTATTAATCTCGATCGAAAGTTACAGACCCCTATGTATTTTTTTGTCAGCAATTTATCTTTCTTGGATATGAGTTACACCTCAGTTACCATACCCAGGATGTTAGTTAAGTTCTCGATTGGCTTTGAAATTATTTCCTACTCTGGTTGCTTTACACAGATGTATTTTTTCATTTCTTTTGTTGCTGTTGAATGTCTACTTCTTTCTGTGATGGCCTATGATCGTTATATAGCTATCTGCAATCCACTTCATTATCATGTTACCATGACCAGGCAATTATGTACCTTACTTGCTCTCGTATCATGGATTGGTGGGTTTTTATCTCCATTGGCTTCATTAATCTTAGCTCTGAGGTTGCCTTTTTGTGGCCCAAATGTTATACACCACTACTATTGTGATCATCCACCTCTACTCCAACTGGCTTGCACAGACACTTCTTTAAACGTGATGGTGGGATCCTCTGTTGGCGCTTTTGTACTTTTAATTTCTTTCACTCTAGTTGTTGTATCATACATTAAAATTATCACTGCTGTCCTCAAAATATCCTCCACCAGTGGACGCTTCAAGACCTTCTCCACATGTGGATCCCACTTTGCAGTGGTCAACATCTTTTACCTACCTCTAATCTTCATGTATGTGCGTCCAACTCCATCATATTCTTCCGATGTGGACTCACTTATAGCCATGTTTTACACAGTGTTAACACCTATGATGAATCCTGTAATATACAGTTTTAGAAACAAGGATATAAAAGATACTTTCAAAAACACAATGCAATGTTAATCAAGCAGAAATTATTATACAGTTCCCCAACGATTTATTATTATATTAATTGTATTTTAATGCTTCAAACCGGTATTCTGTTTTTTGAACAAACAAGATTATTATTGCTAATAAATGCTTATTGTAATATTACAGGCTACTGTATTAAAGTTTATTTTATTTCACTTCACTTTTATTTCCATTTGCTTGTAAAATATAACTGTTTACTATTTAACCCCTTAAAAACACATGAAATTGTACAAATTCTAATCAAAACAATACCTGGAATTTGGGCTATATGTCTGTTCAACCATAATTTACCACTTTCATATTAAGTGCACCCACACATATATAATTTTGCTCAGCAAAAACAGGGATTTTATTTCACATTAAATATATATATATATATATATGAAACAATTTATTTATCATAAAATCTAATAAGTGTGAGAATTTAAGAATTATTTTTATTTTCTTAGTTCTGCATTTTAACTGTGAATGTCATAATACTGTTAGCTTTTATTGCAATAAACTACACATATTTGTATTCAACAAATAGCAGAGAATTGAGCAGTGAGACTGCAGGATCATGATCTGTACATCATGACTGCTTCATATTGCTAAAGTTGCTTTGGTGACTATAGTGCCCCTTTAATGGATCAGTAAGATTTCCCCAGTTCAGAATCCTTTTCCAGGCACCAACTACACTACGCGTCCCATGCCAACAAGTAGCATCTCTAAGTTCCTGGAGCCGAAGAATCCAGAAGAAGTTCCGTAGCCATCTGCAATAGGCTGCTAAAGTTCCGGGTACCCAGGAAAGAGTCTAAGCCACCAATCTCAGATGTCCTTCCCCCACCAGGGGGAACAAATCCAAGAGGCTGTCCGGAACTAGTGGAGGAGAAAAGGCCCTGACACATTTCCAGAAGATCCAGAAACCATGCCTGGCTCTTCCACAGCAGAGTTAGCAGAACTAGAGAGATGTGCTAAACGCTCACCTGCAGTAGAACCCTGGAAATCATTGCAAATGGAGGAAACTCGCAGGCTCCGCATGATGACCACTGTAGAAAAGCATTACCGCCCAGCATGCAGGGTTGTGGAGCCAAATGAAAAACATTGGGAGCTGATAATTCGTCCAAGTGGCAAAGAGATCAAACAGAAACGGGCCCCTCAGAATCAAAATGTGGTGGAAGACTGACCAGTGAAGTCACCAGTCATTAGCATCCCTCTAATGCATGGAGAACCAATCTGCCAGCAGATTCATTGCACATGCAAATACTCTGCTTGGAGCGTAATTTTGTAAGTGTTGTATGCAGAACCTGCAAATCTCATTTACCACCTCCGAGAGGGCAAGAAACTGAGCTCCGCCTAGGCGCTTCATGTAACACACCACCAAGACGTTGTCCATTCTCAACAATTTTCAGTGGTCTGAGAGATGATTCGCTAGACTGAGTATCAAGAATGAACCTACAATCAATCCCAGAGAGTTGATATGCAAGGAGGCCTCTTCATCCATCCAGGGTCCATCTGTAGATAAATTTGCATTACTTGTTCCCAAGCCCCAAAGACCAGCATCTGACACCATGACAAAATCTGGAGTAGGTCTGAAAATCGCCTTGCTGTTCCATGTGAAGTAGCCAGCAGCGGAGCTCAATCCTGACCAGATAATCGTAAAATGGCATCTCCTGAAGAAACCTGGCCTACAGATGTATGTAAAACAACATAAAATGGTGTGGTGTATGTAGCATGCCATAAATATTAGTAATTCTTTTTTATTATTGTAGTGAGGAAACAGATTAAGTGTACATGAATAAACAGTCTTCAGACACAAACCATTTTGTGTTGCTTTATTTGTGTTAAATATAGTGATTTGGGAGTTGAACCAGTGTGTTGGTGGTATTAGAGGGGGTGTTTGGTTTTATTCCTACAGATGTATGGCCTACACATGTATGGCCCAATAAATAATGGGGCCTCGGTAATCACCTGGATAGAAGTGAAGAGGAGACCCATTATACGAGCCAACAGGTGAAAGGGAATATGGTTGTTCCGTAGATCACTCCATATTCCTTCTGGATTGTGGTGATCTTCAACTGGAGAAGGGAGAGGATGCACGTGGAGGCATCTATTTTGAAGCCCATGAACTGGACCACATAAGATGGGACAAGGGACAACTTTTCTCAGTTGACTACGACGCCTAAAGATTCAAACAAGCAAATTGCAAAGCGCATTTGTGATCGCAGTCTGAAAGCTTTTTCTCAAAAAAGTAACAAATTGTTCATAAAAAATAGTCACCGATTGTCCTTGGAACAAAGGCTCCTGGGGCTGAACTGTGGCTGAAAGGCAAGCAAGTGAACAGTAGAAGTGCAGGAAATAATGACTGCAAGGTTCCACCAGAACCAACAGGTATGCATCTTTCAGGTCCAGATGGTCGAACCATTGCCAGAGATGAAGATGGTCTCGAAGGAGATGGATGCCTTCCATTCTGAAGTGCCTTTACACCACAAAGGCATTCAGAATGCAAAGGTTTAAGACCAGCGAAACCTCCTAGATATCTTCCCCGTCATCCAGCACGAATTGCACCTCACCCTTCTCGAAAAGGGCCTCTACCATGCCGTCCATGAACATCCAATGCCCCACTGCTGATACTTGGGCCAGATACAGGAACACCTGAATTGTGAATACATGAAATTCAAGAATGTAGCCCTGAACTGTCTGAAGAATCCAATTGTTTGATGATAGACTTCTACACCTGTCGAGGAAATAAAACAATCTGCTTGTATGCAACAGAACTAAAGGGCAAAGAAAAATAAGTGGGAAATCTAGCACTTGGCTTTCTCTACTTCTATACGACCTCTGGGATGTAAACGCATGTGCAGAGTAGCTCAGGAAGAAGGTCAGAAGATGTTGGTGGCAAGACCCAACTTTTGACCAGCTCTGCCAAAAACCTGTGATGGGGATTGATGGAAACTGTTAGCTTTTATTGGAATAAAATACACATATTTGTGTTCAGCAATGTCTCGTAAGTACAACTGTGCCCCCCATGTCCAGCCTTTATGGTGTTTTGGAAAGTTACAGGAACAAATATAGGACTTTCCCCCTTTGAGTTTTTACACATTAAATTTGCCATTTTGGTTTGCTGGGCCTATGTTGCCTTTGACACAGAATGGCAGCCCATACATTTTTTTAAAAAATGGGGGAAAATTTACCCCATCACAGCATACTATTTGCAAAAGTAGACAACACAGGGTATTCAAAATGGGGTATGTCCAGTGTTTTTTATTAGCCACTTACAAATATACAAATATAGGAAGATAAGTCCTTCAGTCAAACTCCCACTATCCCTGGGCTGCAGCAATGACCATAGTATACATCAGCCCCAATACATACAATAAAAAACAAAAAAAGAGTTACTTGCACATTATCCCAAATCCTTGTGCATAGTTAAAAACTGGAGGTTTTTAGTATCGATCCAATGGCCATTAGGTTTAAGTTCATCTGCCACATCAATGCAAACCTCTTAGGTGAGTCCTACACTAACAATTCACCTTGCTTCCTTCAGGTTCAGGTAAAAAAGATTCTAATGAGACAGAGAGGGGTATTTTTCTAAACCCCTACATACTTATTAAACCTTAATAAGGAACACATGGGGTGGGCGGCAGCAATCTGATATGGTTGTGTGATAGAAAAGCAAATATACAAAGAGAAGTCCTGCGCTCAAACTCCCACTACTGCTGGCCATCAGAAATGACCATAGTACACATCAGCCCAAATACATACAATAAAAACAAAAGAAAAGAGTTACTTGCTCACTATCCCAAATCCCTATTCACATTTAAGTAACTGGAGGTTTTAAATATCACTCCAATGGCCTTTCTGGTGGAAACTCCTCTGCCATGTCAAGGCAAACCTCTTAAGTTAGTCCTATACTAACAATTCACTAATGAGACAGCGAGAGGTATTTTTCTAAACCCCTACATACTTATTAACGCTAAATAGGGAACACATGATGTGGGTGGCTGCATTGTAACAGTCCGAAATAGAGAACTTATTTGGGACTAACATATACGTCATCATTGAGTAAACTTTGACCCGGAACCTCACAGTCAGCAGATACTTCCTGGGAGGGAGGGTCTGCTGCTGATTGGGTGGAATGTGTCTGCTGGCTGTGAGGTTCCGGGTCAAAGTTTACTCAATGATGACGTATAGGGGGCGGACCGGAAATCGGATATGTTCGCCCAACGCGAACACGCTATTGTTCGCCAGCGGACAGTTCGCGATATCTCTAGTCCCAAACCCTAGCCAAAGTTGGGGTTCACATTTGGTCTTTTGCATTTTGTTTACAGAAAAACTGCACTTTCACTGATGATATCATCGCCATGACACATCTTACTGTTTTAAAACACTAATTTTTGTGTTCAGTGAAGTCTCTCGAGTACAGTAGCCTCCATGTATGGTGTTTTGGAAAATTACATGGTCAAATATAGGGCTTGCAAAATAAATTCTCTGGAATTTCTGCCAGAGTTGTCAGGTTTGTCCCTCAAATTATATTTAATAAAATCACATAACTATGTAAAAATAATACGTATGAATACACATAGACTTTAAATATACATATATAATTACTTCTATTTATAAACCTCCAACAAAATCTTTAGCACTGTATAATTGGTGGACTAAAAGATATGTAATTACAGAGGTTGTTAAAGGCCCTGCTCTAATGACCTTACATTCTAGAGTGAGTGGGGTAAAGTAGCACAAGAGGTAAGGGTAGGATATATTTCATATCCATGAAAAAAGTAGATTAATTAAATAGTTTACTGCAAAGGGTTAGTTTATTGGATAACACAGGAGAGGAAGCAGGGTGCGGGGAGGGAGAGCTATTGACAGTTTAACCTCTTAGTGACTAAATCGCTTTCCAATTTTCTTACCGTTTGGGACCAAGGCTGTTTTTACATTTCTGCTGTGTTTGTGTTTAGCTGTAATTTTCATCTTACTCATTTACTATACCCACAATATTATATACCATTTTTCTTCCCATTAAATGGTCTTCTAAAGATACCATTATTTTCATCATATTATTTCAGTTACTATAGAATAATTATAAAATATGATGAAAAACTCACTTTTTCTAACTTTGACCTCCAAAATCTGTAACCCATCTACAACTGCCAAAAAACACCCATGCTAAATAGTTTCTAAATTTTGTCCAGAGTTTTAGAAATACCCAATGTTTACATGTACTTAGCTTTTTTGGGAAAGTTATAGGGCTATAAGTACAAGTAGCAATTTGTTATTTCCAAACCATTTATTTTCAAAATGAATGCAAGTTACTGTAACACTGATATCTGTCAGGAATCCCTGAATAACCTTTCACGTGTATATATTTTTTTAAAGAAGACAACCTAAGGTATTAAACTTGGGGTGTTTTATCTCTTTTCATGCAACCATTTTATGACCAATCTATGCCAAATTTAAAAGAAATTAAATAATTGGTGATTTTTTTGACACACATAGCAATTTAAGAATATATGTACTGAATACTTTAAGGGTTACAGTCACAGAACACCCTAATATGTGTTCAGCAACATCTCCTGAGTACAGTGATACCACCCATGTATAGGTGTGTATGGTTCTCTGGAGGCTAAAAGACCTTATTTGGAGGGTGCACATTCCAGTTTTCCAACTTGGAATTTTCTCAGCTGGTCATCATGCACCCCTGTCCTATTTGGGGCATTTTTGAAGCCGGCCAATGTAATTTGCCCCCAGCAAACCATATATTTTTTAAAAGTAGATAACCCAGGGTATTCAATATGGGGTATGCCCAGTCTTTTCTAGTAGCCACTTAGTCACAAACACTGGCCAAAGTTAGCATTTATTTGTTAGTGTGTGAAAAATTAAAAAAACAATTATGAACGCTAACTTTGGCCATTGTTTGTGACTAAGTGGCTACTAAAAAAGACTGAACATATCCCATTTACATTACCTTGGGTTGTCTTCTTTTGCAAATGGTATGCCATCATGGGGGTGATTCTCATTCCTGGGTTACCATACGCTCTTAAAGGCAACATAACCAATCTGTCAAATTTCAATGTGAAAAAAACGGCCTTAAGTTTGACCCTGTAACTTTCAAAACCACTATAAAACCTGTGCATGGGGGGTACTGTAATACTCGGGAGACTTCGCTGAACACAAATATTAGTGTTTCAAAACAGTAAAACATATCACAATAATGATATCATCAGTGAAAGTGCTGTTTGTGTGTGAAAAATGCAAAACACGTCCCTTTCACCGACAATATCATCGCTGTGATATGTTTTACTGTTTTGAGACACTAATATTTGTGGTCAGCAAAGTCTACCGAGTAAAAAAGTACTCCCCCATGTACAGGTTTCAGGGTGTCTTGGAAAGTTACTGGGTTAAATATAGTGCTAGCAAATTAAATTTTCTGGACTTTCGGCCTGGGTTGTCAGGCAGGTCCTCCAAAATGCAATCAATAAAATTACTTAATTATGTAAAAATATTACATAAATATGCACGTAGAATTTAAATATATGTACATATTTATATATTTGAAGTCTACATGTATATTTATGAAATTATTTTTGTAATTATGTATATGGCCATATGAATATTTCGTATATTTTGTATTATTTTTATTTATTTATATATACATAAATATATATATATATATATATATATACATATATATATAATTTCATTCTTAGTATTTTTTTATATAAATATATATATTAATATCAAAATACAGTTAGAATAAAATTACAAATATGTCTTTTTTTTGACAATTATTTAAAAAAAATATTTATTTTTTATAATATATATATATATATACTTATATGTAAGTGTATTTTGATATTATATATATATATATATATATATATATTAATAAACACATACACTTGGTATGACATTATTAATAAGATATTTATATGCATATATATATATATATATATATATATATATATATATATATATATATATATATATATATATACAGTTCAAGCAGTCCCCCTGCTGGCAGCACTATGGACACCTATTGAGGCCATGTAACCGCTCTTTCAGAGCAATCACATGGCCCCTGGGGGTCTTAATTTGCAGAGGGGGGACTGTCTGTTTAATTTATCTTCACTAAGAGTCTTGAATCCTCGAGGCACTCAGCACAGGCAAAGCATCGGAAGCCTGCCTGATGGCTTTCGATGCTCTGCCTCACTGCCGGGCGCCACGTGGGGCAGCCCGGAAGTGATCCCTCCAGGGGACATAGAATGTTGGTAGGTGAGGATAAAAGCAGGTTAATGCTATTTCTGGTTGGTTTACTGTGAGCAGAGGAGTTTATTAGAGAGACATCACTAGATGCTAGAAAAGACAGTGACAGGAGATGAGAGTTTTGTGTGGATGGGCTCTTGGATGAGATTATTTGGGAGTAGGAGAGAGAGAAGAGAGAAATGAGAGCAAGGCATGAGATGAGAGAAGGAGGAAATGTAGCAAAGATGTTAAAATGTAGAGGTTATTGGGAGGTGGATGAAAGTGGATGTAATTTAAAGGAGCACGATAGTGTCAGGAAAACAAACTTGTTTTTCTGGCACTATGTAGTCCTTAGGTCCCCCCCCACCCTCATGGCCCCCCTCCTGCTGGGCTGAAGGGGTTAAAAGGGCTGCGATGTTGGCCTGCTGTTCAGCAAACAGGGTCTTGAGCTGGTTGGCAGTGACTGGTTCGTCGGCAATGGGTTGCATGGGCTTGGGGCCTGGCATTCTCATTCCTGGGTTACCATACGCTCTTAAAGGCAACATAACCAATCTGTCACATTTCAATGTGAAAAAACGGCCTTACGTTTGACCCTGTAACTTTCAAAACCACTATAAAACCTGTACATGGTGGGTACTGTTATACTCGGGAGACTTCGCTGAACACAAATATTAGTGTTTCAAAACAGTAAAACATATCACATGCTTTTGAGGCCTCCATTCCTATATCAAAGGGGATATCATCTGAGGAGTAGGAAGAGCCCTCATCACTCATTGCTATTTTGTCCCGCTTGTGATTTCCGCAGGAGTTCCCCGATATCTCGGGATGTAGGGCATTTATCGGCTTTTGTCTTTTTGTGTTTGCGTCCATCATATTCTCTGGGCAACAGAGAGTGGAGCAGGTAAGCAGGGTGTAGATTTTCCACTCCAAAATAATCGGTTTCATTAGCTTATGGCCCGGGACTCACAAGAGTGCGACTTCTCCGTTCCTCAGTTGGCTCCATCCCCTCAGCACTGTTTCTTAATATGTATTTTGCATACATTTTACAGCAGCACCACTGCTAACAAATGCATGTTCCTGGTGTGCCCCCAATGTCACTTTTTCCATCTCTGGTATCAGACCTCAACACACGACCACAATCTCAAATGATCTGTCCAACCATTGTCTTTTTTTTCTGAACTCACTTTAAACTCCATTGTTGCCTTATTATTATAATAACTCAATCCAAGGTCTCTGTTCTCTCTCATGGACTTTGCCTCAATTGTTTCTCCAAATTAAAACCATCCATAGCCTTGTTTCCATAGCTACTACTCTCTGGAACTTCCATGCAGCTCAAGTCTGTCCCAACTTGACCTCCTATCTCTCTCTGCACCACATAGGTCTCCTGGCCACCTCAACTACACATGTATCTGTACCAAGCCATAATAAATTACTAAAGGGAGACTCTTCACTTCTGTTCCTATCTGTTAAAGGAGACAATCTCTTGTAAATGCTCTATCTATCTGCCATTATTGTTCTCTTACTTTCCTAATTATGACTAACCAAGTCAGCTCCATTGTGTATAGGCTCAAGTGTCACAGTCTATGACAAGAGTAAAAAAAAAGTAATTTAATCTACTGCTTTCATGATTGTCTCCACTATTTATTGGACAATACCAGGTGTCATTACACAATACTCAGCCTAAGGCATCAGACACACAACATCCGCAACTGCCACCTCACACACATACACAAAACACTAATTAGCTAGATTCAAAGAAATGAGCGTAAAGCTCTAGGAGAAAGCCCCCAATCCTGCATCCTGCCTAGGGGCTTGGACAATTAATGTGACTCTGCATTTTTGTCTCACATGAGTTTAAGCTCACTTATGCCATTACCGGGGGAATCTATACCATGTACATATCATCATAAGAAAGAGAAAAGCCATATGATCAGTATGCACAGTTGTTGAAGACAAATTTTAGCTTTCTAATGCTATTACAGAGAGGATGCATACTATATGCATATTAGTCTAGGCCCATGCATTTGTGTAATCCAGAATCAAAAAGTCAGCATGGTTTTATTATATAGAATGACACCAGAACACCATTTGGTCTTGATTGAGCAGTCAGTGAATTGTTAGGCATAGTGGGCAAGGAATCCGCATCCACGTGAAACAAGAGACACACCGAGAATGGAGAAAACCTTATTAACTTGCCTTTTGGATACAGCTGTATTTATCGAGTATTTTTAATATTTAAGAAAATTTAAATATTGTATTTTTTGATAAGTGGTACAAACCACTCTACAATGGTTAGTAAATTAATATGAAATTTTTATAAATATTTAATTTTGATCAAATCATCTCTAAATATATATCTTTTTCACAAAAGGATCATTTTGTTATTCTTTTTCTACTATTTTTGTAAAACATACAACAAACACTTAAACAAGGCTCAGATGTGCATAAAGTGTGTAAACTTGTTTTAATCAGCCCCCTGGGAACTAAGATATTCATAATAAGCAATAAAGTAGAATGGAGAGACATAAAAGAGGTTCGGACCTGGAATCACATCTTCGTTCTTGTAGATTGTACAAAGCAACCATGTTGCATTTAATTATTTAATCCCATTCCAATGTAGAAAAAATAATTGCAGTTGGCTTCTGTCTGCTTGCTTTATAAATCTTGCTATCTAAATAATAATAATCAGTTTCCCTTTTTAACGTGCAAAGTCTATGGCTATGGGAGTTCTTTTCCAAAAGGTAAGCAAGGAATGGGAGATGAAGCGCAAATCGATCTTTACTATTATCCCAAAAATCGTTCCATATTCATCACTAATATTTTAGAAGAGTTATGACAAAGGGCTTATGTGATTTAATGTTATTATTTTATATTGTAAGCTTGTTTGGACAGGGCCCTCTTCACCTGCTAGTCTATTATGCCAGTCATATTTAGTTTGTTAGTGCTGAAAATATGTTAGCACTATATAAATAAATGTAATTGTAGTTTTCTTATTTATAATCTCTTAAAGAAAGTGAATGTTATGTACTGAATAGAGAGATGTCATCATCACAACTGAATTACAAAATAAAGGTCAAAATAACTACGTTGAGGCATACTAGTTTGGAGAATTTAACATTTGTCGAAAATAATTTTGAAAACGGATATCGACATGGAAGATTTATTGCATTGTTATACAACAGGCATCTAATACATCGATGTACTTATGACAAATTCCATTAGACAGGCGGAAAGAAAACAATATCCTTAAATATTATTCAAGATGCAACTATCAGGATGGAGAAGCAATCCAGCATGTAGTACCTGAATCAATGCCTATCCTAAGTAAATAGAGATACAGAATAGATGTGCATGACCAGCTTTTAGGGTTACTGGGCTTTACGCTATGCTAGGTCAGTGGTTATAGAATACCACATAAACAAGAGACAACCCCCAGTCAAGGGAAGTCTGAGGACAATAAGGTCAAAAACAAGTACCAAAACAAGACTGAAATGCAAAACGCTCTATTGGGTGTAGAAGGCCCAAAAGGCACTTAAATTCTTAAGTGATTGGTTTCACTAGCCCCATATTCTGTTAATGAACTGGAGACTAGGGGAATGCATGATAGTATGAGGAAGGACATTTGTTACAGATTTGGCTACCATAAAGTAGTTCTGAAGTTAAAAGTTGGAAGTATGGGTGATGGACCGAGAAAACACAATAATTATCTGTGGAATGGGAGCAGCAACATGGGCTGTACTTGCAGACTTGTAGC